TTGATGAAAAGCAAAAAACATCAAATATCCAAAATGGAATACTCGAGTGATAAAATCTCCATAGGGAAATAATAAAAAATGATATTATTGTGATTAACTGATTTTTCTATTTTAGTACAAATATCTAAGAATCAATGTATGGCGTCTCATATATTTACCTTATATTGTACATAGACAAAAGTCATTTGTCTTTAACTGATTTTTTTTCCTTTATTTGTTTGTATTTTCGTCTAACGAACCTTATTGGTTTCTTTTTCTTTTTGTCTTCTGTTCTTTGCTCACCTCTTTTCTTCTCTTGTGTCTTTATGAATTATATGTATACCAATTGTTCTGTTAGTGTTGGTTGGTTTTTTTTTTCTCATCGATCTATTATTATTGTCGATGTGTTTATTATTATATATTTTTCTGTTTGTGCAAAACAAAAATGTTTTTTTTTTCTTGATCAAAAAGAAAATTGAAGATTTATGATAAATGATGAAAACAAAAAAAATTTTTTTTTTATTGATTTATAATAATGAATTTATTGGTTCTATGAGAAGAGAGAAAAAAAGTAGATGTTTTTTTTTTCATCCTTATATTTTGACAGATTAGAATGAGTTGGTTGATCATTAAATTATGATTAGAAAATGATTACTTTTGGTTTTTTTAATATATTAAGAAAAAAAAAAATTAATGAAAAATACTTGAAATTATTTATTGAAAATGATTTTATTAATTATATAATTGATAATTATAAAGATGAGAAATATCATGGGAATATTTTTATTTTTTTTTTTAGATTTATATTTTAAAAAGAAATGATTGAATTACCGGACTTATTTCATGAAAATCGGTAGGAGAAATAATATTTTGTTTGAATTTAATTTATTTTTTTTATATATGTAAAATAGAATTTCTGAATTGACATTATCTTTAATTCTTTATGTACCTATTGGTCTTTGTCTTGTACTTATTCGTTCTATTGCATTAATATTTTTATTCCTTATTTCATCTATATTACCTGCGAGTTTATCTCTTGATCAGTAAGTTATTTTTAATTTAATCGATAGTAAATTAATTTAAATATAATAGATTTATAAATAAAGCTATAAGCTTTATATTAACATTTATCTGTGTTGATGAAGCTGTTCAAAATCGAAATGAAGATACAAGAAAAATAACAAAGATTATTGTTGCTAATCGAGTATCTTGTTTGGATTTAATTGTATTGAGAAAACTTTTTTTTAATAATAAATGTAAAATGGTATGTATAAAAAAAATATAATTCTATGATATATTTGATCTAAATTAATATAAATTTAGGTAAATTTATGGGAAGAAACTTCTTGGATTAATTATTTCAAATTAAATTTAATTAATTCTGCTCGTACACAAGAAGATTTATTAGATTTATGTGTCAATGAAATTCAATATTCTGGTATAATTTTAGATTATGAAATAATCTATAAGGCAAAAATCTAGGCATAGAATTTTTTGTTATTTCCGAATATATGTTAAAATTCATCTTCTGAGATAAGATTGAACAACTATCAGTTAATTCTGTGAAAAAAATCTGAATTTGTGTCTTAGAACAGAAATTATTATGCAGTGGTACTAAATTCTATATAAAATATGCTATTGCCATAAGTGAAATCTCATTTATGAGCTTCCACTAAAAAGTTAGTTCCTATGGAAATTGATATGGATAAACGAAAACGCTGGTTTAAAAACTGCTTTTAAAAATACAAAAATTTTAAAATCTATGATACGAAAGTAAACAATACGCTTTGTAAAGCAAATTTTGCTCTACAAAATTGATGAGAGAACCTACTCTTCCAATTTCAATGATTGTATTACATAGTGTTCTAATAGAAATCTTAATAGAATTCGAGTTCTATTGAAATTTGACTAAGCTATTGAATTTTTTTTCTAGAGGCCTCAGATTTTCGGAAAACTCCCATTTTCGAATTTTGATCTGAAGGTTTGTGCTTATAGAGAACTCAACTATACTAACTTTCATAAAAAAAAACTCACAAGTTTTAAACGAAGTCTCTTCGAGATATAAGACTTTCAACGTATAGACCACTTTTCTATGGATAGGGTATGCAACATGTATTTTTTGAAAGCTTCATATCTTAAAGAGGCTTTATTTAAAACTTCTGAAGTTTTTTGTGGAATAGTTTAGTCAAGTCTCAATAGGAAATCAAATCCTTTTAAAGTTTGTATTAGAACACTGTGTATTATAATCATTGAAATCAGAAGATGATACCTGAGAAGATATCCTCGTGAGCCATTAAAAATTGTTTTGCATTTTGAATTTAATAGGATTTAGTTGAAATACAAAATTAACCAAAATAGTATTTTGTATAACTGTTATTTTTAGAGTTTTTGAAATAATAATACTTGCAGAAAGAAATTCTGAATACGTATTCGGAAAGAATCTGATTTTAACTAACTCTAATTAGTTATCTTTAAACTATCGAAAAATCAGTGAATATTTTGAATGAAGAATTTATCATTGTAGGTTAAAATAAAATAAAATTTTATTTTTAGATTATCAACTTCTTTTCGTACCTGAATGTGAACCAACAACTGGTTCAGATGGTTTATTAAAGTTTAAGTAAAGAAATAATTATTTAGTTGTTTTTTTTGGTTTAATGCTTGTTTTTCTTTAGTCTTTTGCCATTTAGTCTTGCAAAAAAGCTTCAATTATCTATTCTACCTATCTGTCTTCGTACTTCTCGTGCATTTAAAATTAGAACTGTAAAAATTATTTTTTTTTTTGTTAAATTCTATTTTATATTATTTTTATTTCTTTTTATAATCAGAGTACTTTCAATAGTCATCCATTTACTGATCTTTTCTGGTTTTTATTCAGTCCTTATACACGATTTCATATAAAGTAATAGAATTTTTATTTCTAATAAGACTATATTATTATTTTATTTTGTAGTTTTTTATCAATTGTTTCTCCAACAGATTTATCTTCCGATGAAGTTTTTTGTGAACAAATTCGAGAAAATATATGTCGAACAATAGGTATAGAATTGACTCAATTTGACGAACAACAAGTATCTGAACTTAAAAAACGACCTGATCTTGTTCAACGTCGACATGGTAAATTATTAATATGAAAATTTTTTTCATTTGAAATTTTTTTTTTTTGTATTTCTAGAACAACGTCGAGCTGAATTTCAACAAATGATTAATCTTGTTCATCAACAAGTACCTCTTGCATCGTTAGAAGCTATTCGATATGATCTTGGTTTGTAAAATTTCTTTTAATTTTTGTTTTTTCTCATTATTCGAATTATAGAAATAACAAAAAGTGTTCAAAGAACAATTGCAAATTTAAATGAACGTGTTGCTGCAGCAGCTCGAGCAGCAAATAAATCAACATCATCAACTACATCTTCACATGCAATAACAAAATCTTCCGGTGGTAGTAATCATCGTCAAGCGTATGAACGACTAAAACAAGAATTAATTGAAAAAAATAGACAATTATTTTTAAATAAAAACGGTAATTAAAAAGTATACGATAAAGATTCTTTTTTTTTTTGAAAAACCTTGTTTGTTTTTTTTTATAAACTGCACTATCTAAATAAATAAAAAAAAAACAACCATCAATATTTACCTCTGTAGGTTTGCACTTACCCCATGATGGTGAAATTATTTTTTTTATCTTTCTGTTATTGTGCAAGTTGTATATTTTTATATGTTGTTTTTCTTTTCATTTATTATTTTTTAAAGCAACCTATTATGTCGTGTCTAGTTCATGATAAACGATTTCGTTCTTCATTTCACAGTGTTATTAATGAACTTCGAAATGAAAAACGTATGCCTTTATCAATTTTACAATCAATGCCACGACAATGCTGCACATGTCATAATGAAAATGAAGAAATAATAGAAATAAGAGTTATTACAAACGAAGAAAATGAATTAACAAAATTAAAAAATCTTATTGAACGGGTTAATCAAGAAAAACAAGCCAATCCAAAATTAATTTTATCATTAAATATATTGGAAAATCTGATTGAAAAAAATCGAAGTTCTATTCCAGTGTCATCAAAACCATCATCAATTAAAAAACAAAAACGACGCAAGCCATCATTCGATCACAGTAATAGCAGTTCTTCATCAAGTTCGGATGATAGCAGTTCTTCATCAAGCTCAACAACTAGCAGTTCTTCATTGAGCTCAATAACTAGCAGTTCTTCATCAAGTTCAACAACTAGCAGTTCTTCATCAGATGCTAATCATAAAACTTCAATGAAAACAATTAAAAATGGAACATTTCTTTTCTTACCATATACTCTCGATCATAAAGCTAAAAAAAGAAATTCTGATTCTTTATTAGAAGTAGCCAAAGAGTTGCAATGTAAACGGTTTATTGGTCCTAATGGTCATTTTTCTCTATTAGAAAAACAATATAATGTTCGTATTAATATGATTACATCAAACACAAGTAAACAAGTTACAGATGCACTTGAAAATGCTAAAAAAGGTTTAGAGAATCTTAAAATTCGTAATCAAGAAGAAACTATGGGAAAATCAGAAAACTTAGAAGGTGAATGGGTTCTTATTCGATCAAAGAAATCACAAAATCAAACCAAACCAGATGATATAGAACAAGTATTAGATGATCTAATAAATCGATGGGAAAATTGTTTAAAAGTTAAAAAACGCTCATTTGATAAAGAGGATGATCCAGACGATTCAATTCAGAAAAAGAAATAATTTTCAGACTGTTGTTCTTTTTTTTGTGTTTGTCTCTTGTGAAATTGAGAAATAAATATTTTATTAATTTCTATTAAACCAAATTTCTGATTTTATTATCATATTTGTATTGTTGTACAGATATTGACAACCGACACAGAGAGAGACAAGTACAAAAAAAAAAAGTACCTCTAAAAATAGTTCGAAATTGAATAAGTTTTTTGCTATTAGATCATACTATGTCAGTGGGTAAATATCTATCGCTGGGAATGTTCTTGTTTGCCGCATACAGAGCAGATCACTCGAGAACTGATCTGCTCGAAATTTTGACCTCTTCTTCGCAGCAATATGGGTACTTTAAACATGAAATTTTTCAAACATTTGTTTTTTATAGGTCGGTAAAGTTAGCAGCGGATTCGCATTTTTTTGAAAAATATTCCCCAGCACATTTGTGACAAAAAAAATACTAGTTGTGTCAGATCATGCATCGAATATATTGTCAGATTCAAACCTTTCGAAAAACTTCTCTTGCGAAAAACACCTTAACAATTCAAAAACTCTACTTTTCAAATCTTATTTTTTATTGAAAAATCAAGAATTTCTACCATTTATTCTCTCTAAAAACTGTGTCAATTGAGAAATCATGTGTACTAGATAGAATTTGATGACACCTCTCGATTGATATCAAATTCGACCTTGTTTATCTGCAGGATAGTCAAAAACTAGTGGAACTGGGAATTTCAACATATTTCATCACCAAATATTCGTTCCAACAGTTATGCCGATTGAGAAACTGTTTGTGCTAGATAGAAATGGATGAGACCCATCGATGGGTACCGAATTCGACATTGTTCATGGGCAGGGTTGAAGTCTAGGTGACTGAAGGCTGGTAGTACTGGAGTTTTTAACACATGTCATGACAAAATATTCGTACCAACAACTGTGTCAATTGAGAGATGGTGTAGAATGTGGATGTGAATGTCCTTTTCACCCTCACGCCAACATCTACCCAGACACCCATACCTACGCAAACTCATTCACAGCTACACTCATCCTTTGAAATAATCTGTGTTTTTCATTTGATTTCTATCCGACAGGGACAAACATTGACTACAGGTTTTGTGGCATTCATCCATAAAAGGTCCAAAACATCGATCAGCAGTTATTAAAACATCAACTTACCTTCCCTGTACCGAATGTCCTAATCAATGATCTTATGATGCAAAACGGTATCTAGTGTCGACAAACTATAACTCGTACAGAAGGTCAATAGTAGTCTGTTTTGTGCATTGAAATCACGGTATACTTAACCATCTGAATGATATTCTTTTCTAGGATAATTTCCAGTACTTTAAAAACTCCAATAGTATATGAAGATCTTCTAAGTAGAAGAGCGACCATCCCTCACTCAAGAATGTATGTTTGTGGCAATTTCACATACATTAATAGAGGATGTTCTACCTACATCTAAATGGTATTTCATACCATTTTGTATCCAGAATTCTTTGGTTAGAAGCGATAATACATTCTATTCATCGATACCCTGTACTCTCTAAAAAAAAAGTGTTATATAGAACCTTTAAGGATTCTATCTGTCGGTACCGTTTTCTGAACCATTAAAGGTACTAAAAAGAAACAATTTTATCCAGAACCTTCCACTTATGTTCGATAACAAGGTTTAGCTACAAAAGTAAGAACCATGATTTTCGCATGGAACCATCTTCTACTGGAATCATGGGCTCCATCTTACAGGATACTGGTGGAGGTGCAGTTTCATCGCTCTACGTGCCTCCTCAAGACCATGCAGAAAGACATGGTCACAGATGTCCAAAGCCTATCTGACGATCCGACTTCATCCACTCCCAAAGAAGGTCTGAAACCAAGCACAGAATGCTCCTCTAACAAATGGTGCTGCCTCATCGATTGCACTACCTGCTCATCATCACCATGATTGCTAAGTTTCTTGAATCAGTCGATAAACTCAAGCAACTATAACGAATCAACCTAAAATGATATATATATTGTGTTTATTGATATGTTAAAAATGAAATGATGAAGCGTTAAGACAGAAGATAATACGATTTCTTTTGAATTTTTTTTTGAGGTGAGACCTATTTTGTGAATATTAAGTTTTCACACAGCAGGTATGAAGACCTCCAGTTCTTAGACTGTTACTCAAGTTCAATGAAAGCCTTTCATTTTCACAAAATTAGTCTTCGCTAATTAGAAAAATTGCAATTAAATCATAAGTGAAAAATTGAAACATTATGTTGATGTTTAAACGGTTGATTAGCCGCAATTTATATTGAATTAAGAAAAACTGATTGGCTGGTTTTTTTATCTTTATATGGAACGAGTGAAGCTATTTCAAAGTTATATTAATCAAGCCGTGTTCAAAAATGATTCACCTTAGTTCAAGCTGCCTGCGATGAAACCATCTTCGTAAAAGATGTTCAGCATAAAAACAAAAGAGTGCGATATAGAACTCTTCTGAACATTTAGAACCATTTTGTATTCTCATAGTTCCGTAGATTACCCAGAACCTTTGATTGTTTATTCATGATTCAATTAAACCTTTAATAGTTCAGCATATTCTCTAAAATCATGAATGGTTTCTCATGAAACCTTATTTTTAGAGAGCAGATATTGAATTAACCTCCTTGGTTATTGCTGGAATTTCACTGGGCTTTTAACTCTCAAAAATTTGAAGAAGTTTCTAAGTGAGAAACAGATTTTATGTGATATCATTATTGGCTATCAGAGTCAGATCTGCCATCGCAATATGGGGTGAAAATAACTATCAAAACTTAGGTTAATAAGAGAAACTAGCCCTCCAAGTGACATTTATTACTAACGGTATCATAAATAGTAATATATGTCAACTTTTTTATGACATTCCAGCCATCATCCATCATATAGTAGCTTCTATAGTAGATAGTGATAAATGGTTACATTCACAAATAAAAAAAGTTATCGAATAATAAAGGATCGTCATAGTCTAGTCATATAGTTTCTATCATGGTTGTTTTTTGAGTAACATATAAAATAACGTCCTTATTTACTTCAAAGCGAAAGGAATAAAGTTAAGGCTCGCTAAATGTACTCACCTCGGACTAGGCTTCCAGTCTCTTAGTTGTTAAAATGTATTCAAGCTAGACTAGATATTAATCAGCTACAACAACTTAGCATGGGTAATAACCAAGGAGGTTAATTCCATATCTATTGTTTACTTCGAAAGGATATCTAAAGAGTGAGTTAAAAGGATGAAATTTCCCCATGGAATATCACAACAACTACTTCGAATATATGGCGTAGAAAGATGGATGGAATGTCATTTCCCTAAATAGATATACTGAAATTGCGGCAACTTTTTGATCATCCTATGTATTTTAGTCTTTTTCCTAAAACCTCTGTTATTTGTTTCAGATATTTCTTAATGGAATGCCAGTATTAGTATCAAACGCTCTTTACCTTTTTTGATTCCTACTCCTTGATGGCGATAGTATTACGAAGCATGCTTACAGAATGCATTATGGTTGTTTTCATTGAATCGATTGATCATTTAACTTTATTGTAAAAGATCAACTGTGAGAGTCCATCGGGTCCAAATTTTTCGAATCCGAACCCGTTTGGGCTCTAACAATTGTGTACTATTATTATTTAATTATTCCAGTCAATTTTTAAATAACAAAGAACCTCATCTAACAGACGCCGTAAAAGTACAACTTCATTAACAAAAAAAAAATTGTTTGTCTGTTACTTTGATAGCATAATGCGATTTGTTTGTTATATTTTCATTGGATGTCAAATTTCTTTTTTTTTCTGTGATAAAATAATATACTCTCAAATTCAGTTAAGATAAAGATGCAAGCCGTGTATACAAATATTATTTGTAAAAGTTTAAATAAATAAAATGAGATAAGAATAACTATTATAAAACACCTTGTTTTTGTCGTTGATAAATATATCTTCTCTTTTCATAATTTTCATTAATGGTGTGTCTTACCCATATACTGGTATTCTTTTTCCTTACTACATTCTCAACACTTGACACTCGTTCAATCGAGCAGGATTCTAATACTAAGTTATTGTTAAAAAATCACATAAGAGAAAACAAAAAGCTTTCGACTACTATCGCCAGCTATCGTCATCGATTTGAACATTCACCGAATTTCAAAGCGCTTCGATGGACACTTAATCAACAATTCGTTCCACCTTATTGTGACTTTTGCCATTTGCTTATACCTGCCGTAAGATTAATGTATTATTACATATTTATGTTTAATTGTTTTCGTTAAAGATTCGGTTTCTCATTGAAATTAATGAAACGATCCATGTTGAAAATGTTACCATAGCTTTATGTAAAGAAATTAGACTGTTTTTCGACATTGATGTTTGTATCGGAGCTCTACATGAATATAAGGTGAATAGTGCTTCTACTTCTGATCAATTTATATGTGTTCTTCATGTTCAAATAGGATGCTGCAATTGAAATATTGTCTATAACTCCTCTTACCAATAAAGAATTATGTGCAGTTGCTTTTGATTGTGAGAATCAATCTGATTTTCCTATTCTACGATGGAATATCACTATACCTGGCTCTAAACCACCTCCAAAACCACCACAACCTCCTGCAGTAAGTTTCTATAAAATTAAAATAATTAATAACCACATTTTGTTAACAGTGATACAATGAAAGCGTAACACATTCATTCACAATTGATAAAGAATAGAGCATAATCTCTTTATTTCAATTGATTTTTCATAGATCAATCAATAAAGCAGTATTTACATAGGACGTTGAAAAAGTTCTGAGAACTAGTAATATTTCTTCAATAAGAAGCACATTATATTTATTTGTCTACAGCAAATGTTAAAAGACATTATAACAATGTTCGATAACAAGCTCGATTTAGTTTTGAATAACCTTTTTGTATTCACTGATATGTGTCAAACTGATTGCTCGGTGGGTGTGGTTGAAGAGAGCATCTATCTCCACACCTACATCCACACTGATCCATACTCACACCCGCAAATTATAAGAAATGAATGTCTTTAAAATGATATTTACTGAAATAAAGAATTGCCCATAGAAAAATGTAACTAATGTGCTTTTTTTCTGAACATAGTCTGGATCACCCAAACTGAAAGTTCTTCATCTATCTGATATTCATGTGGATTTTGCCTACAAACCAGGCTCACAAGCAGAATGTACCCAACCAATATGCTGTCGAGAAGGTCAACCTTGTGAGTATTATATATATATAATGGATGCCAAGATTATTTAACAAGGTTTATTTTCAGTTTTTTCCGCTGTCGTAAGCGTTAGAAAGAATCCACGTAGTGATTCGGGTAGAGACAATGGTCTCTAACAAGAGTATAAGAAAATAATAATAATAATAATTGTCAAATTTCCAAAGATAGAGACTTCAGTAAACCAAAATCCTAGTTTTTCAATACCTAAAGCACTTAAATATAATTTCGTTTAGATTACATAGACCAATAGAGTAAACAATTTTCGCCAAAATGAAACGTTTCTAAGTTGTCTGACGCGTTTTTTAGCTGAGATACAGTTATCTTACACATGCCTCTACAGTCGCTTTTTTTTTTACTATTGCTTATAGAAAAGTCATATTTTGACCTTCAATCAAATTGCTGTATCTCAGCCAAAAGAGATCGCAAAAATAACTTGGAGTCATTTCATTTTGTAGATAATTATTTACTCTATTGTTCTCTGTAGTTTAAACAAAATTACATTTACGCATTCTAGGTGTTGAAGTCCTTCTGTCTTTGGGAGCCAAAGAATAATTTTTATTTTCTTATATTCTTGTTGGAAACAATTTTTTCTACTCTAATCACTATTTGAACTCTTTCTAGCGCTTACAGTACCAAGAATAAAAATTGAAAATAAACCTTGTTGAATAATTTTGATACCCACTGTATACACTTAATGATGAATTTTTTAAAATTTCATCCAGATCCTAGACATGCTGGTGCTGGTTTCTGGTATGTATACTTAATTTTATCTTACAGTTTCTAGCATTATATATTTCTCGTTTAGGGGTGATTATCGTAATTGTGATTTACCTTTCTGGACAGCTCAAACTATCCTACAATATGCTTCTGAACTAGAAGATGTAAGTCATAAATGAAATTCAATTTATTTTCGTCGAAAAAAAAATGCATTAAATATTTTGTTTTGGTAGTATGATTTCATCTATTATACTGGTGATTTACCACCTCACAATGTATGGAATCAATCTCGTGCTGATCAACTCTATGCGATTAAAACTATTAATCAATTATTAGCTAGGACTTTTCCTAATAAAACTTTCTATCCAGCAGTTGGAAATCATGAAGCAGGTATTATGTTAATCTATCTTTTTTTCTTCAATTTATTTACTTTATCCTTGTTCATCTGTTCTATAGCACCTTGCAATCTTTATCCTACACCTATTATTAAAACAGATAATATTACATGGTTGTACGAAGCATTAGCTGATAGTTGGCTGACACTTGGTTTACCTTCTGATACACGTGATAGTATTACACGTGGAGCTTTCTATACAACAATTGTACGTCCTGGTTTACGATTAATATCACTCAATATGAATTATTGTGCACCCGATAACTTTTGGTTATTTGTCAATGCAACTGATCCACTTGGCCAACTTGAATGGGTAAGTTTTCAAATTAAAAAAACAAATTGTAATATACTTTTGATGTTTTTAGTTGATACAATGGTTACAATATGCTGAAGATCATGACGAAAAAGTTCATATTATTGCACATCATCCACCACGTTCTTGTTTAGCAGCTTTTAGCTGGAATTTTCATAAAATTATCAATCGGTTAGAAATCTAAACATTTGTTTTGATCTTCTTTAGTTTATTTTTATTAGATATGAAAATACTATTGCGGGTCAATTTTATGGTCATACACATAATGATGAATTTATTGTGTTTTATGACGAAATTGAAAAACAACGACCCGTATCAATGGTTTGATGTTTCTTTTAGATCTTGTTACTCATGATTTTACTCTGTCCAATTTTAGGCCTATGTAACACCGTCATTGACTCCACAATCATTTTTAAATCCAGGTTATCGTGTTTATACAATGGACGGTGCCTATCCAAATAGTTCGTATTGGGTACTTGATCACCATACAGTTATTATGAACTTAACTGCATCAAACATGTATAATAGAAGCATTCTAATCAATGAATATGCAGCTCGAGATGCCTATCAAATGGAAAATTTGTTTCCTGCGGATTGGAACACTCTTATTCAAAGAATGAAAAACGATATTGATGGTCCATTGATGAGTTTAGCATATACATATTATACAAAATCGTATGCTACTGGAAGCACCTGTAATCATGCATGTCGACGAGGTCTATTATGCAATTTTATGACAGCCCGTTCTGATGATCCTCATGCATGTGACTCTATTCCAACTTAACGTTGATTTGTAATTAATAAACTTCTATGATTCAAATTTTTTATTAATTTAAGTTTTGATTACCGATTCTTTCATTTACTATGAGTATTTATAATTGAAAACCAATCTGTAGTTTTATTAGCGAACTTTGTTTTGAAAGTTTTTGAATACTTGAATATAATATAAGATATTTAGACATGTTTAAGATACTTTACATTTATTTCAGAACTTAAAGAATACTTCTTCTTTCATTGTGCATCAAAGCATACGCTATTCAACTGAATAGCTAATATCATTATTCTTTTACGTCAAAATAGCATTTTCTATTTTTTTTTACAAATTTATTTAAGTGAAAAAACAGTTTATAAATATTTATTATGTTTATATTTGATGTAGAATCTTTTTAATTTATAGTTCTACTATTCAGAGTGCGCAAAAATGTTTTCTCCCAGGGAAATAACATTGGTACTTCAAATAATATAAACAACAAATTTTATATCAAATTAAAATGCGTTGAAAATGGGATTTACCAATACTAAATAGTAAAGGTTATAGCAACTCTTCATTGTCGAATTCAAGAAATTCCTAATATTTTATCCCATATCAACCGAGAAAAATTCCTTTTAAAAAGCAATTCAATCTAGGCCTCATTTAAAATGATGAATACTAAAAAGTAATATTAATTTTTTTTTAAAGACCTGATGAATACAATCAATAATCAGTATGACGATCATTAGTGTGCTTATAGTGCGCAGATGTAAAGCATATGAATATAAAAAAATTTTAAATAGGTCAATGCTCGTTTGATATGTTTTTTTCTTTGAGTTTCTTCATCAAAACTATTCTGCTTCATCTTTAATAGTCATCTACTTCAGCTTCGTTTTAGATTGTTGCCCCACTGGAAAAAGAAACATTTTTACGCGCCCTGTACACGTCTATGGAATGGGAAACTTCCTGTTATAAAGAAAAAAAAACTTAGGGACACTATTTATTCCCTCGTTTCATTAATCTATAAACGGAAATTCTAAGAAGAATGTTTTCATAAAGCTCACGAAAGCATTCATAAGTTTAGAAAAATATGTATGCAAATCCTGTGATCAATTGATTTCTGTTTATCTAGTTTTTTATATTATTTTTAACTACTATGTGACTCTATAATACCATAGTTTCTATATAAATTAAATTCAAATCCTATAATGAAACGAAGAATAGAATTACTTTGGTAAAAAAAAAGAAAAACTAAAAGAAAAAAAAAAGACACGTTCTAAGCAAACGCATTCTCTTTGGTCGAATTTAGATGACTTTCTCTTTTTTTTTTCTCTCTTTTCCCTATCCAAAGTTGTGCTTTCACATTAATAGACCAGTCTATTAGAAAGGTAGAAGCAATCATTTTACTCATTATTAAATATCTTTCATTAGTAAACATCATTATGACGGATGAACTTCGTAATAATATGAGTTCAATTATGGTTTGTTTAAATAGAATAAGATTAGTATTATTTTTTTGAAAAAAATCTTTTATTTTCGATTTCTTCAGGATGCTACACCTGAAATTCAAAAAATAAGGTAAAACATTTTCCAATGCAAGTTCATTATGATCTTCGTTTCCTTTTTATTTATAGTGAATATCCGGAAATAAAATATGCAGCTATTGATGCTTTATATAGAAAACATCATGAACATAAAGTTCATCGTTTTACAGAAGAACATCGAGAAAAACATATAGTTAATTGGAAGTTAGCTTCCATTTTTAGGATTAATAATAACTATTAAAATATTTTTGGTATTATTTAGAGTAACAAAATATGCTGAAGAAAAAGTTGCTTATGGTACTAATTATTTTTTAAAAATATCTATTGATAATAATTTATTTATTCATATTCGAATTCATAGACATAAAAATCAAAATAAATATGATTTTTATGCCTTACGTGAAGTATTTAAACATCATCATGCAACTTGTGTTTTTACAGAAGGTACAAAAAAGTGTATTTTTTTATAATCCATATCTTAAAATGTATTTTTCTTTTAGATGAACCTTTGACTTATTTCAATTATTAAAAGACTCATTCGGAAAAAAAAGACACTAATATTTAGTTCTTTTTTTTTATTAGAGATTTTAACATTTAAATAATTGTTCTTTTTCATTAATTGTTTTCAATATATACTTGTCGTTAATTTTCAATTGAATTACAAAAAACTTAAGGCATCCTTCTCAAACAAATGATATTAGACCAGGTGCATTGAAATCACATGAAATTTTCCGAATACGTTGAGGCTATGCTAAAATTTTCAGCTCTATATCCTGACATTTGAGCAAGATATCTAACAAACAACAAGGATCAAAAATAGCTCATTGAGCAACCTAAAATTCTCTGAATCCTCATTCTATAGATTTTTTTTCCACTGGAAAGAATATATCAGACTGTAGTACCGTTTTGTTTAAATTCCTACTTTTATGTGAAACAAAGGATGGCGAGTTCTCAAAAAATGATCATCTATTTATAGAAGTACTTTTTTTTATATAATAATAAAAGAAACTTAATTCAAAAAACAGACACTACAGCTTTACATACTCTTTCAAATATAAAAAGTAATTGGCTACAATGATGCTCAGTTGAGAACTCTCGGATGCACGATCAGAAAAGCATAAATAGAAAAAAAAAATCTCGCACTTTTTCTGAAAAAAAAACATATTTTTCAGATAGCAGGTGACGGAAATCATCGAAAAACGTGGTGCTAAATAAAAACAAATCATGTCATTTATGAAAATCAAGCTTTGGGCTATCTTCTCATGTGTTTATCTTAATTTTGATTTCTCTAATGAAAATTGACTTTTTCCTGAAGGAGATCGTACGAAATAATTTTGTTTTAATTCAACAAGTTTCATCACACATTTATTTTAATAATTAAACATAAAATAACGAATATACTATTTCTATTATCGTTCGCAACATTGTATTTTTATTGATATAGAATCATGTAAAATAATAAAAAGCTATTGTTGTTGTTTCAGTATGTTCTTCGACAAAATATATTTAGCATAAAAGCAAAATATTTTAACACCTAATAGTGTCAACTCATAAACATGTGACCCATTCTAAAAATAGCTCAAAAAAACAAGAGAAAAAAAGCATGCCCATATTGCAACAGTAGTACACATGTGATTATAAATGATATTGTAAAAGCATCTATCGAATATAGATATCTTTAAATTGATAATAAATTTAAACTTCAAAATTGATTGAGTTCTACGACAATAAGCTAATGTCAACTGGGCGCTATGATAATTAATCGTAGTGAAGAATTGGTTACAATACCGAAAAATAAAATCTGCAAAAAAAAAATTTTCATAATATTATGATGAAATAACTCAGAGAGATTAAGAAGATAATTTTCAATCTATTCAAAGACAAGAAACATTAGATATGAGAAAAAATATGAATATTTAGTCAACTTTTCTAATTGATCATGAAGCCTTACAAGAGGGTAAGTAGTAGTTACTTTAAAAATTTCTATATTAGATAGAACCTATCTAACGAGGGAACCATTGGAAGTGTCTCGTCATTTTCGGCCCCATATTTTCTTTTGTTGATAAGTAGTAGACCTGTAGACTAAGAAAAATCTAAGATGATATGAGCGCATGTTGTGATTTGATTGAGATAAAGAAGTTTTACTGGAATGTTGTTGTAGGATCCTCATCTTCCAGCAAAATCATACTTTCGAACTTTGACATAAAATGTTGCACATATCGAGGCTGCACTAGGCTAGCTTGTACAAAAAGTTTCAGAACTGTTCTACGTAGTACATAATCGAGATATGAATTTTTCAAAATATTCACGCTTTATACAATACCCAGAAAAAAAGCACCTATATTTTGAAAAACTCACATCTTGGCTATTTTATGTGGAATAGTTCTGAAATTTTTTGTGCAAGCTAACCTAGTTGCAGCCTCGATATGTACGAAGGCTCATGGCAAAGTTCGAAAATATGATTCCGTTAGAAAACTAGAGTCTTGCAAGAAGATTTCAGTAAAATCACAATATGGATTCATATATTCTTAGACTTTTCCTAGTCTATATGTATGCTACTGATAGGCAAAATATGGATTAAAAGTGACCAATCACGTCGAACAGTTCTCTTGTAAGCCTAACCAAACCTTTACCTGTCCAGTCTAGGGTCAGCTAAAGTCTACTCGAGCCTCGTGACTTCACTGCTTATGATTGTTATCGTTTGTAGTATCATTAAATACTCAGACAGTTCAAGTAAAAGAAAAAACGTCAACATTTTGAAAGAGTTTTCCTTTTCAATACAAAAATGACCTTGAATTATTGTAATAGTTAGTTTAACTAATTCACATTCTAATCCAAGTGCTTATGAATATCGAGAATGATCAAATGATTAGTTAACTCAACTCAAAAAAATCACTTTTCTCATTGATTACTAACGCCATCTATCAGTTTGAAGATAATCAATTTATATATCAAGAAATATATATTTTTTGTATATTTGCTAGTTGATTTATATAATAAGTTAAATAATTTTCTAATTATCCTTTACATTTTTATTTTATTCATTATTGGTCTAATAAAAATTAACTATTTAAGATCCAATGTCTTTTTTCGTTTGAACAGAAAAATTTATCATTAGACAATTAGAATATTTTCTCTTTTTCTTTTCTTTCTTTTATAGATCTGTACATATAATGGATGCTCTTGAAATTGAACATCTATGTGGTCAATTATATAGTGGTGGAGTTAGTAGTGAACAATTACGTACAGTATCTCAACGTCTTGAAACATTTGTAAGTCAACCAAATTGTTTATCACAATGTCGAATATTACTTGATCGTGCATTAACTCCTTATACACAATTTTTTGGTGCAACAACATTAATAAAATATTTTAATCGTTCATCAAATCAACCATCAGTATCATTTACTGAACGATTTGAATTACGTACATATATACTTGAATATTTATATAAACATAATCGTTCACTTGCACCATTTGTACTTGCTGAATTAGTTAAATTATATGCACGTTTAACAAAAAATTCTTGGTTTGATTTAAGTCCAAATACAACAAATTTAAATAATGAAATATATCCATTTCAAACATTTACAGATGATTTACTTAAATTTCAAATAGATCCACCACATTTTTCTGTTGCTTTACAATTATTAATTGCAATATTATCTGAAATAAGTGTACCAAATGATGAAGAAACATCAGCTAGAGCATTTAGTAAACATCGAAAAATTTGTATATCATTTCGTGATACAAAATTACTTGATATTTATTTATTTGCTTGTCAATATTTACGTGATGTTATAATTAATCAAAAAAAAGTATTAGGTTTATCGAATGATTTGAATGATTATCCAAAAACAATAACAAGTGTACAATTACAAGGAGATTATTATTTAGTTGTAGAAAAACTTCTATCATTAGCATTAGCTTGTTTAACATATGATTATCTTGGTAAAAATTAGTTATTATTTTTCAAATTCAATTTTATTCTTTTGTTTTGTTTCTTTAATTAGGAACAGGTTCAAGTATTCATGATGTTGATGTATCAGATGAAAATCAAACATTACAAGTTCCACTTGCTTGGCATGATCATGTTGTTGATGGAAGTTTTTATCGATTATTTTTTTCATATTATTTTCTTTTTTCAAATACATCACTTGTTCCATTAGCAATTTCATGTCTTGTTCAATTATCAAGTGTACGACGATCATTATTAAATACAAACGAACGTCTTACTGTTCTTAATCATATGACATATGGTAAATGAAAAAAAAAAACAAAATTGTTCGTTTGCCAATAACGAAGGAATAATTCTTTATATAGAAAAAAAACCTGAGGGTGTGCGTATTATCAAATAACATTTAAAATTGATGTCAACATTCGATTCTTTTTTTTTAGAGTTTGAAGGCATGATTCCAACAAACGTTATTTTCTAGTTTAATTGCTTTCATAACTAATCTTGTGAAATATATCAATAATATGAAAGAATATTATTGTAGTGTAAAAATCAATATTTTATCTAGAATGAATAATGCGCTCGCCTTCTGGAGATTATGTTCGTTCTTCCGAAAAATATCTATGCATTTCTTCGTAGTTTGAAAATGTTACATTGAAAAAGAAAATTCAGATAAAACATTATTTCTTTGAATTTTCTACCCAATATCCTATATGCTTAGGTTATAGTATCCATAACAGACGAAAGATGATATCGATTTATTTTAATTGAAATTTGAACCATAAAACCTTGAAAGTAAAAATAATCGAAAGAAAATGTATCAACAAATGATTGAGGAGGAAATCATAAGTGGACTGGATGCATCCTTCTAATTCTTATACACTGTATGACAGAACGGAAAAAGAAGACAAGTTTCTAATGTATATCAAAGTATGTGTCTTATTCTCAAGATGCATAACTATCGAATTCCGGTATGTTAAGGTCATACCGCCCCTCCAGGGTCAACGATGAAAATTAAGATAAGATAGTCTGAATTCTGTTCTTTTATAAACAAATTTTTGGATATTTTCTCACTAAAACAATGCATTGAAAATGAGCATTTTGATAAATTTTACCATGGTTCGTAAAAATAATACAGCCCATTCAACACGATAATGAGAAAAATAAAAACATCGAAAACGACATGATCGACACATATTATAACGATCCGCCATTTGTTATGTTATTTTTGTTTTTGTCCTTTCTCTCTGATAATTATTTATAAATCATAATTATTGGTTTAGTTTTCGTAACGGCGCTAAATGCTTGTGATGAGTGTAGTTTCGAATAAAAAGAGAACTGAGACAACATTTTCGAGCAAGTTCACTATATATTCATATCGTGGAAAATAAAAATACCTACTTAATGAAGCTCAACAAACAACAAAAAAGTGCCTAAAAAAATGCTGTCCGTTTTTTCTCTCTTTATACTTTTTTTTTTGATCACACAATGCGAAATTGTCTGTATATCCACATTCTTTATATTTAATTTTTTTTTCTGTTTCAAAGAACATGTCAGAATTTTCTTTTCAATTAAGCATTATTTATATTATATATACAAAGACTTACATAAATAGACCCTTATTTTTAGACAGCTCTTTAATTAATCACTATTTTTTTCCACATAAAAAGTAAGAATTAAAAAAAAAAAACTTTGTCATGCCTCACATCTCGACATGTTCTTTCAAACAAAAAAATATATACAGAGAATATTAGACTGCAAAATGCACTATTTTTGACCTTTGTTTGATGAGCATCCGTCTCAAATGTTATGGTATAGAGCTGAACATTTTAGGCGATTTGAATATACCTGACGCACAATCGATTTTTAACAAGGACCTTAGATATAAAACAGTGAGAAAAAGTTTAACAATAACATATTTTTAATTTTTTGTCCTATAATATTAAGCAATTAGCTCAAATCTAAATAGCGATTTTAATACCTAATAAAGTTTTCGTTTATCAAGATTTCATAGATGAATTATGATGACAAGGTTTCAAAAAAAAACCGAATATGGTAGTTTTTTAGAAATCTTACCATCATTGTTCATCTCTGAAAACTTGGGAAACGAAAAGTCCATTGGTTATTAAAATTACTATCATACTTTGTTCCACCACATTATACTATAATTATATAGGACTGCTGTATAACAGACTTTAAAAACACGTCAAAAATTTTGTTTTAGGTATTCGATCAATTCTTGAACAAGCAGCTGGTCTTCTAGCTGATGAAAAATCTTTACATGAATTTTGTCGTCTAATAGCACGTTTAAAATCAAATACACAATTACATGAATTAATTCGTATTGATAATTATCCATTATTTATTGAAACATTATTTCGTTTTACAATTGATCATTTATTAAGTGTTCATCATCATCGTCAATATCATTTATCACCAAATACACTTCATTATATATTATCATTTTGGTCAAAAATAGTTGCATTTCTTTCACATAGTTCAAAATTATCTGAATCATCATCATCAAATGATTCTCCAACATCACATTTGTTAGATATATATGTTCCACAAATTGTTTGTTATTATGTTCAATCACGTTTAGATGCACTTAATAATGATGATGTTTTATATATGGAATTATTTGATAATGATCAAACAATATTACAACAACAATTAGAAATGATTAGTATTATGTCAAGATTAGATTATAATAAAACATGTGCACTTTTATGTACATGTTTTGATGATCTTGCTCAACAATATCAACAAGTAATAGCGATTATATCATTTTTAACACTACACAAAATAATTTATGTAGAATTCCACTATCTAATAATGTATGCATAATCAAGTTCTACTATGACATATTGATAGATGACATCACCTTCGTCATATTTCATGATGATCACAGCGAAGGTAACGCTATCTATTGAAAAGTCTACGAACTTGATATTTAGATAAAGGAAGTTTACATCTATTCTGTTCTGTAGTCAAAGCCTGATAGTCGCTTTTAATTGAATGTATTTCTAGGCAGCAAATTCAGAAACAGTTGAAAGACGTTTTACATTTTTAATATATGTTCTTGGATGTGTTATTGGTGCACGCGGTATAACATTAACATCATTATCATTACCAACTGATGATCAAGATTTATTTGATGGTGAATTAGTTGTACGTGTATTACAATTAATGACATATATACAACAAAAAACAGCTGGTGAAACACAAAATAATAATAAAAATTCAATAAATACAGCAATAACAACAACAACAACAACAGATAAAATTGGTTCAACACCATATTCTGAACGACTTGAATTAGCTGTTTTATTTTTTTTTGAACAATTTCGAAGACAATATATTGGAGATCATGGTCGATCAAATAAAATTTATCAAGTTCTATTTAAACATCTTGGTAATGATAAAAAAAATAATTTCTATTATTACAAAGATTTATGTTGTTCCTCTTTTTCGTTTTTTATGTTTTGACACTAATGAAAATGATAAAATTCTATAATAGGAAAAAAAAGCCGATAAGACTTTTGTAAATTTATTATATCATAAGAAAGAACAGATTGAACTTTTTGAGTTCGGAATTATTTTTCACAACAAAATGAACAATTTAAAAATTTGAAATTAATTTTTATTTAAAAGTCTATAATGAAATATGATTACACGATAAATGAGTCTGAGAAAGAACAAATTAAAGAACTACAAGAAAATAGTTTTATTATAATAAGTCCACATTGACGTCAAAAATTGAACAGAGTTATCACGTGTTTTTGGTGTTGAGTGTGAGCATTATGTCTTTTTTTTGACTCACCCATCTGAAGGATGGCATTCAGCTATTAGAGTAATATTAGTTTCTTGTGTATTTTTCTTGATACAATAGCTCATCCATTTTCACTCAGCAATCAACACGAGAAAACCCATCCATGTATAAATCTGTAAAATATTTTGAAAATGGAACAACATGTAGCTGAACGATTAAAAGCCGGACTTTTAAAACCAACGAAACGTGTTAAATATGAACTCATTTCGACTTTTCATTTGATAACAAGAGACTTTATACGTTAAACGTACGAGAATTCTGTTCAATTTTTGATATCAATTTGGGCTTATTCAAATAAAACTATTTTCTTGTACTTCTTTAATTTGTTTTTTATGCCAGGCTCATCTGTCGGTGTACTCATCATCTAGATCTCGAAAGATGGTATTCTGTTAGCATTGCTGGCAGCAGTCTGCAGATGATCTCACTCATTTTTCACATCGCTGATCAAATATAGGATTGCGTCGCCTCAAACATTACAGATTGATCGATCCGGTTCCATGACTGACTTTATGCTACCACAGAAATCAACTTGTTGTGTCTATAGAATTTCGAGTGTGAGTATATATACTGGTACTTGCTCAGCTTTGATGTGATATCTCATTCATAAAAAGTAGCTCTCGCAAATCCACGTCACTTGAACTCAAAGGTTAAACGTTTATATTTTTTAGTTCATAAAAATCTTCTTTTATAGTCAACATTTGATCGATATGAATTCTTAGCTTGAATGAGTAAAGAATATCGCAAAATAATCAAATTAGAGAAAAAATCTTTTAAACTCTTAAAATATTCTCTTTGTTATTCTTTGTTTGAATCATTAACTATTTTGAGACACTGTTTTCATGATTATTATTCATATAAAGTTTTCAAGAGAATTCATATATAAAGGTTATTAATAAAATATGAAATAGATAATGATTTTTTATTCATAAATTAATGAAAAACAAAGATTCGAATTTATTCATTGTTTTTTTTCTATTATTTAGGTATTGCTGATGAAGAACAACTTTTGTCAATATTCATAAAAAAACTTTTTACAAATTTACAATATTCAACAATAACTGATAAATTAATTGAACGTACAGTTGGATGCTTTAGTGATCTTTCACAAGGTTATCAAAGTGTTCGTAGATTAGTTAAGCTAGATCCAATTCAATATTTTATTAATAATCATACACAAGATTTATTTCCATTTCTTCATCATACATCTACGACTAAACGTTCAAATAATAGTAATATAACTGCTAGTAGTTGGTCACGTCTTCGAACAACATTTTATGCTGCTGTTGGACGAATGTTAATGCATGAATTTCGTTATGATGAAGATGATGATGATCGTGTCGAAGCTTTTATGACACCATTTACAAATCATTGTAATAGATTAGTACAAATATTCAAAGACTTTCCAGATTTTACTGCATTTAACGTAGGACAATTTGCAACAATGGGTCAATTTAAGTAAGAATCGATCAAAACTCTGCTTTAAAAAGAAAAGCTTTAAACAATGATTACAAAAGAGGCAAATATAAATGAATAATTAAAAGAGAGAAGATTATGGGTAAATTCATGAATACTCAACTACTTTCTGAAAAATGTTTTATCAACTATTTTTTTTTTGTTTCAGTAAAGTAGAAAATGGTCAGAAAACAGTAGGGATCTGCAGCATCACTTTAATGACTACTGAAGTCATCAACTAAGGAAGGAACCTTTTCAGTTGCTGCCTTCCAATTTCGATGATTATACTACATAGTCTTATAATAAAAGCTCTAAACGGATTTCAGTTCCTATTCAGCTTCGACTAAGCTATGGAATCTTTAATGGCAATTATCTAGAAGCCTCAGTTTTTCGGAAAACTCATACTTTTAAATGTTGATCTGAAATTTTGCGCATATAAAGAACTCAACTAGACTAGCTTCCATATAAAAAATTCAGAAGTTTCGAATAAAGTTTCTTCGACATATGAGACTTTAAAGATATAGGCTCTTTTTCATGGATAGTGTATACGACATGCATTTTCAGAAAGCTTCATATCTCGAAGAAACTTTATTCAAAACTTTCAAATTTTTTTATGAAAGCTGGCTAGTTGTGTTCTCTATATGCACAAAGTTTTAGATCGAAATTCGAAAATACGAGTTTTTCGAAAATATTGCAACGAAAGCGGGGTACCAGTGCCTCAGTGGACCTTGTGCCGGTGACTCATTGTCAGTGTTTACAATAATGTACTTCCTTAGAAAATAGCCTCCAAAGGATAGTGCTTTTTTTTTTTATTGATATTTGTCAGAAATAAAAAGGCTTCAAAACATATGGATTTTTTAATGTTTTTATTGGAACAATCATATATCCGTCAAATTTGAATAAAAAATCTGAATCCTTAATAGGTTATGTTCGTCTAACGCAAGGTTATCGATTACGGGAGAGTATAGTGAGAACTTTTTCTTCATAAAAAACGTTGAACTTTCTGCAAAGTTTTTAGTAGTGTCTTGGAAAATCGTGATAGAAAGAAAATTTTTGATAGTTTTATCTCTGCTTCTGATAGATATTTATACGAAAGCACTTTCTGTCGAATTTTTAGTCCATCCGATTCTCGAAAACAATCGGAAACTGGAATCTAGTGATGCCCTACTTATGAGCTCAAACCCTTGAAATCACTTGTAGAATCTTCTATAGACATTTTCACAAAAATACTCCAAGTTTCCACCATTTCAATTGAAAGTCAGCAAACTTTTTCCAACCGAAACTGTTTTCTGATCTCAAACCATTTAAATAACATGATGGGACATCCCAATTAGATTTACGTATAAAAAAAGATAATTTCAATTTGAATTCATAAACTTTTTGTTTTAGTCCAACATTGGCCTCATTAGATGAGATTCAATCTCTTATAATTGGTATTGTTCGTGATCTTCGTGGTATATGTAGTGCCTTCGTTTCTAAACAAGCCTATTCATCATTATTTGATTGGCTTTATCCATCATATTTACCATTATTTTTAAAAGCTCTTTATGTATTTTATGATCGAGCAGATGTTTATAATCCATTATTAAAATTTTTTCATGAATTAACATCAAATCGTCAAGAACGTTTAGCATTTGATTCAACAAAACCAAGTGCTTATTTATTATTTCGTGCAACATCTAATTTACTTTATATATTTCAAACAAAAACAATTGTTCATGTTAATGCAACACTTCCTGAAACTGATGGAATTTTATTTTATAAATCTAAACTTAAACCAATTATAACATGTTTAAGAATAATTCGTGCATGTTTAATTGGTAAGAAAATAAAAATTATTCTTTTAATTTTCTTAAAAACTTTTTTTCTTTTAGGTAATTATGTTAATTTTGGTGTTTTTCATCTTTATTCTGATCCATGTTTTGATAATTGTTTACAAGTATTTTTATCAATATTAACATCTATTAAACAAACACATTTATTAGCTTATCCAAAATTAACATTATCTTATTTTACATTAATTGAAACATTATCACTTGTTCAAATTGATTTTCTAGCTAATTTAACAACACCATTATTTGGTTATGTACTTGAAACAATAAGTGAAGGATTTTTATCACCTGAACAAACTATACAAAATTCATGTTGTATTTTTTTGGATACATTTTTGTCATATATTTTTCGATCAGTTAAAAAAAGTAATGCATCAGCTAGTTTAATGGCTAATATTAATGAATATGGAAATTTATTTCGACAAATACTTGTAAATTTACTTAATGGAATTATATTTGCTGAATGCAAGTAAGTGAATCAAAAATTCGTTAATAAACAATCGAATAAAAAAATATATGTAAAATATGAATAATTAAGATTAAAGTTATAGTTTTTCTAGAATTATAAAAAAGAGAAAATTTTTCTAAATTAATAAATTAGTATTCGATTTAATTGATTGATTTCATATTGCCAAATATTTTGAACTACTTAAGTGATTCAATTAGATATGGACAAGATG